ATGTTTGTTCTTGCTTTTACCATGGATAGGTAAACCTTTAGTTGTCTAATCCAAGAGGGATTTCCTCTTGGGTATGTGAAATCGACTCTTTTTCATTTATCCTCGTCGTGCAAAGTGTTTGGTTTGACTAGGTTAAGTGCGAGTGAATATGGTTGCAGGCTTTTTATACACCGTAGACTTGTCACAAGGTATGTGATTAATAGTTAAACTTAGCATCTTACTATGCTTCTATAAGACTAATTATGCATTGATAGAGTTTCAATGATAACATTTCAAGGAAAAAGATTATACAAGGGCCTAAAGTCAATAACCATCAAACTTTCATGCAACACCCACATGTTCTGGAAGAAAATTGGAGGAAGAGCAAGCAAATCATCCACATTAGAATGCCCATCTTGAAATAATTGAGGGCCCCCAGAAGATTGCTAGGGTGATCGCACATGGCATGTTGTAGCTCTTCACTATGGAGGACAAAAACTACTTCAGTACCACGTTCGAACGCCAATACACATTCGAACCCCATCTTGAATTATTTGAGGGCCCCCAGGAGATTGCTAGGGTTATGACACATGGCATGTTGCAGCTCTTCACTGTTGAGGAAAAAAGCCACTTTAGTACTACATGCAAACTCCATTTAGCATTCAAATGCCAATCAAAGAAGACATGACTCCACGTTCGAACGCCATCCCACGTTCGAACATATTTCCTAGACATGCTTCAGAATGATTGGATTTCCATCCAAATTTTGTGGCATTCAGTTGGACTTTAAACACTTGGGTCTGAACTTTTACCTCCTCTTACTTGCCTATAACTACCTCCTCTTTGGACTTGTAAAGGGAGACATAGAGATCTTTTGGAAGAGGACCCTCCAAATGTAAATAGTTTTCTTCTACTTTCATTATTAGTTTCATTAACTTCCATTGTAAAAGCTTCTTTCTTCACTTAGAGAAGAGAAACCCTTTCACCTTTCTAGCTCTTTTGTAGCCTTGAAGGGTGAAAAGTTATTCACTCATTCTTCATCGAATATAGGCTCATTGTGTTGTGTAGTTTCTGTTGTAACTCCTCTACTAGAAGGAATGAAAATCACTTACTTTTCTAGCTTTCTTAAAGCCATGAATAGTGAGTAGTTTTTCATTCACTCTAGTAAGAGGTGATGTATATGTATAAATCATTCAAAAATTATTTTTGTGCATTTCATTTATGCTTAATGTTTTATCGATTGCTTATGAATGATTGAATGCATCTAGCAAAGCGAAGCTACTTTGTACAACCATTAGTCCTTTCTAAGAAAAGATGACTCTTGTCATAGGAGGATTCATTGGTTCTTTGCAAGTACACCAGATAGATCTTCATAACTAAATTTCTATCTTCCCTATTATTGTGGTTCAGCCAAGAATGGAATACTAACACAATGGTTGGATGACTTGTAGAATTACTTGCTTGTTTGTAGACTAGTTGAGTCCTGGCACTGACAATTCTTGTAAATCTCTACAAAGACATCGGATCCGTGCTCTTAATTGTCATAGTCCATCTTCATCCTCCAATTGACTTGTTGTTGACATAGGGGTTAATTGAGTTCTCAGGCACAAATATAACAACTGGATGATTGAATACATGTCCAGATCCTTGAGCTAAAGTGAGACTTTAACAATTGAGAAAATATTATATTTTGTCTATAAAATCCCTTTTAAGAGAATCTTATATTCTGTCCAGGAAATTCTATAAACATCATAACTTCAAATCTCAAGGGTTTTAGTCACTTTGATTTCTATCACTGTTTACTCCAAAACACCAACAATATTTCCTTATGGATTCGACTCCAGACTTAACCCAATTATAACAACAACTTGATCGCCTGCACTTGGGTGTACACCTTTCGGATCAAGTCAACTTTTTGGTACCGTTGCCGGGGAACCAAAAGGTGTTTTAAAGTAAAAGGAATCAGAAGATGAATAGATCTCTTCTTTGCAACCCTAACTACACTTTGTGTATACTAATAAATTCGAAACATTTAGGGCAATGTTAAGTTTAGGTTGGGGGTGAGAACTACATTTAATATTTTGTGCTTTTAAAAAAAATTTCTGATCGTGTTGCATATTCTATCTTGTATTTCATATTTTATACAGTCTTTATAGTATATAAAAAAAATGATGGGGCATACATTAAAGAACCAGATAGGGTGTTTGAAGCTTAGCAAACATGGGTAGTAAGATTTTTTACATTTAGTTAGGCATTTTATGCACCTTTCCAATTGATGTGCATTCTATGATAATGAGAAAAGTAAGATTGGTGAGAAAAATAGAAATTCGAGAAGGGCAAGGGAAACAACTGTGTGGCAGAAGCACTTTTACTAAATGTCGTCGCGTCAAAAGACTTGGTGCATGTAAACAATGTGGTAAGATCTTTCACATGAAGAAATACAATCAGTGTTCTGAACCAATTTTTAGTCGCGCACTTGATCAATTAGACTGGATAGTGAATGAGCAGAGTAAGGATTATCCTGAGACTCCATGCTATTTCGGTCCTGTACTTACACGTTTTGTGCATCAAGAAATTAGAAGAGTCACTGATTGTTCGAATGACATGGAGACAGGACATGACTCTGATTAGAATGCTTTTTGACAAAGTTATGGAATACCATATTTTTTATGAAGGTTAATGGTCCAATTTTTTTTGTAAAAAGTGTAAATATCTTTTTGTTAAATTTACAAACTCTTTTTATTGAAATAAAGATGTGGGCCAAGTAAGGAATGTCCTAAATAATCAAGAAAGTTTTTGCGTGGGTAGGGACTTACCCTGAGATGTCATAATTTTCTAAGTTTAATGTGTGCATATAATCTTCTTTTAATATGTGTATAAAATTCTGATTTTAATTTGGCGTTCGGAAGCCAGATCACGTTTGAACGCCAATACTTTATGGTTTTCATTGTATTCTCTAATCTCCTGACATCATCCCTCAATGTGTGTATGGCTTATTGAGGTAGGGGAGTGTCACTCTCCCTCGGAATGATGCAAGAAATAGAGAAATGGAATAAGTGCAAGTGAGACCCCCAAATTGGAGAAGTGTAAGTGGGACCCCCAAATTGTAAAGCTTGAGTTGCAAGCTGTCTGGGCAATCTGGGCAAAACCTTTTGGAAGGTCGACACAAACCTTCCGGAAGGTTTGTGCTGAAACAGTTAAATGAACATTCTAGTAAGCAAAACCTTCCAGAAGGTTCATTCCAGTAGAAAAAACCTTCCGGAAGGTTTCTGGTAGTGAGTAGGTAGACCAAGCACAAACCTTCTGGACGGTTTCTTTCCAAACCTTTCGGAAGGTTTTCATCCAAAATGAAATTTTCTTGGTTTCTTCACCCTCCAAGCCTTCCTTTAAGCCATCCCCTCATCTTCATTGATATCAAACACTCATTGGGGGTATAAATCCAACCATTTATGCCTTTTCAGCTACATTTACAAAAAACTCCATTAAAGCTGAGATTAAACACGTTTTTTTCCCAATTTCATGACAAAAGCAAGTATAAAAGGGTTGATTAGCATACAATATATGTCATATTTTTGTTCTAATCACACCCCCCAATAGGGCTTTGCTAGTCCCTAGCAAACATTATTTCAAACTATATACTATAAATTAAAACAATAACCATTCTTTCCAACAAACATCCAAACACTCAAAATGCATAAATCACAATGCAATTACATAAATGGCTTTGGACAATGATAAACAAAAAAAATGTGGTATTTCATTGATCATTTCAAAAAGTTCTTTACAACGGGTTCAAGTTTCAAAACAAAACGGCCAAAACCTAAAGATACTTCTACCGGCCAATACAAGAAACCCTAACTATGTACAACCACAATTCAAAAAAAAAACCAAAAACCCCCAGCCGTCCTTAGTCATCCTCCTCATCCAAGGCATCTTCGTCCTAGGTCTCGGTCTCAGACTCGAACTTTGACTCCTTGTCATCGTCGTCCACCTCGACAGTTATGGATGGCACAGGCGTACTGGTCGAGGGTCCAGCTAGAGGCTGTGGGGGAGGTCCTCTAGGGATAGGGTCACCTGGGAATATGTGATGGAATAGTCGAGTCACCATGATTGACAGTCTATGCATGGTGGACTCCAGTGCATCCATATGTTGTGCCATAGTTCGGGCAGGAGCTGGTGTAGTTGGTGGGGGAGCTGAAGAAGATAGCCCGGCTGCAGAAGGCCCGGGCTCCCTAGTTCTAGGTCTTTCACCCCCAGCCCCAGCAGCTCTTTTGCTGCTGTTGAACTTCCCTATAGCTCCAGTCTCTTGGGGGAGCAGTGTATCATGGGCATAATGTTTCACCTTGGCCAAGTCACAAAGACGAGTGACAAGGCTACTAAAAGGGAGATTTGCCTTCAGTTTTGCAGCCTGGGCAAACTCCCTCATCTCCATTCAAATCAAATAAGCTACATCAATGGCAACCCCAGTCATGAATGCATGAAGTAAAGACAACTTCTCTATATTTGGGTTCTGCTCGTAATCTTGGGGCATCTAATTGTAATGAAGAACTTTATTCATTACCCTGTATAAGTTCTTAAGGCCCCCAAACAACGTCGTTCCCCTGAACATGGTCAGGTCCTTATAGGTGTGAGCCACGTAGTCATTGAGGGTCCTACCCCTATCCACATTGTGTGGGTAGATCGGGGTGGTCGAGGGAAGCCTCTCATTGCCCATCACCGTGGCTATTGCGTCAGGGGTCACCTCAAATGTTTTCCCCATTACATTTATCCTCAATCTACCCTTATTCTTACCAAAAACACACAATTCCTAGTAAAATTGGCGACACATGCCCAAATTATATCCCTTAACCTCCTCGAACCACACCTTCATTCCACGAGCCTCAATCACTTTTACAACCTCATCTCTAGGCCCAAGAGAAGCTTTGCTAACATATCTCTCGCAAATTATGCCCTTTTCCCCAATCCTTTGTCTTTGGGCATCGTGCTTTGCTTTGGTTTGCCTATCTTCTTGTTCTTGGCCACTAGGGCCCTCCTCGGCTCACTTTCGTAAGCTCGAGCCTATGGGTGAAGGAGAGTCTGTGCCCATCCTCTTTGTGCGGGCCATGAACATCAACAGTGCCCCCAAAGAGAGAAAAGTAAAAATCATCGCCAAAAGACTCCAGAGGCTCGAAAACCTCAATGGACAACTCATTCATCCTAGCCATTGCAATGGAGTTAAAAGCTTTGAAAAAGATCAAGAAATGTCTTAAGAAGCTTAGGCAAAATGAGGACTTATGGCTTGGGTAGAAAACTTGAAAATTTTGGCTAACACACTCTAAATTTCAACCCTAATCAATAGAAAGTAAGAAATTTGAGATTTGGGAGAAGTTACTTGAAGGTTAGAAGAGAGTAAGAGGAGAAGAGAGAGGTTGGATGCAAGATATAGAGGGGGAATGTGAAGGGTTTTTCAAAATTTTTGAACTTAAAACCCTCATTTTTAGTTGTCTAAGCAAAACCTTCCGACAGGTCAACAGAAACATTCTGAAAGGTCTACAGAAATCTTCCAGAAGGTTTTGCTTACTGCTTGGGTCAAAATTTCCAGTAGGCAATACGTTCCGGAAGGTTTTTGCCTTTGCTGCAAAACCATTCATTTGTTCAAAAATTCACATCCAAACCATTTCTCCTCAACTCCAAAACATTTTAACACCTTTTCTATGCCATCTAACCTGCCAAAAACTTGAACCACACATATGAACCACAATTGAATGATCACGTCCAAAGTCATTTTCGAAATTGCAACATGATTTAAGATTTTGATGTTTTCAAAGTACAAGTCATGGATTTCTAATTTAAACTACCAAAATGAAAACCCAAAATGCAAAAATTGAATTCAAACAACAAGGGCATTCCTAAATCTTATCAAATATTGAAAGTTGAACCATATTCCCCCATCCTTCAAGCAAAGAGCTACCTAACACGTCGTTCAACATATCGAACCAAGAACACATGAGCACCACTATAGCTTTAAATGCTAGTCTAAAGTATGCACCTACATATTTATTTTCAAACTCATGTGTGTGTGCAATGGACAAGTGCTTTAAACCCTGATGCAATGGAATTCAAATTCTCTTTGGCTATCCAAGTTAAGCTTCAATGCAACCTCACCAAGGGTGTCTCTCAACAATGAAACACACCTATGTTATCCTGGCACACTCTCCATGTGTATATGTAAGATAGAATCTTGTGCACAAAATGAAATATGGATACATATAATCCAAAAATGAAGTTTGTGCATGAAAGTGAAACAACCTTGGCATAATCTCATGAAAGGGATGCTAGGGCACTATATAGCAAACCAACTTCTCTTTTTCTTTAAAAGTATGCATCTCCCATGCTTCTCTAGATCATTTAGGACTTCAAGGGTTATAATGGGGCCTTGGGGCGATCTTTAGGCAAAAGAAACGAAGGATATAAGATAACAAAGAGGGTTGTTCCGAGTAACAGATTTTTATTTCAAAAATATCTCCCTTTTCATGGGGTTTTTCTTCTTACACCATCACCACACTCTTTGTTTCTTTTCTTTCTTTTCATTAACATTTTCCTTTTCTTTTGATCATTCTTTTCTTCTTCTTACCCATTTTCTTCATTTTCTTGGATTTTCATTCTTTTCAATTCAACTCTTTGAGTTTCAACATCGTTCACCCCTTTTGTTTGAGTTTCCACACCATACTTCGTTCTCTTTTACAATCACTCATATTTAACTCTAGGAACAACCAAGGTAAGGTAGATATTTATAATTTTCACTGGCTTGGTCTAATGTGTGGCATAGAAACGAATTTCAATTAAGGCTCAATCACGACACTAGGGATAATATTTTCTGAAGATAAAGGCCAAGACTCAAAATATTCAAAAATAGCCTAAGATCACCTCGAGATAAGCATGGAGCAGCATTATGCATTTCAAGACAAGTCAATCACTACACAAATGCACCTAACCAAAAAGAGCATAATGAGACTATTGAACATATTTGAAATTTGACGAATTATTCCTTGAGTAAATGTAAGTCCCCTCCAACAAGGATTGGCACGAAAGCTCTCATGGGTTCTTACTCATATCTACTATTCATGTCAAGCACTAGAATGTGAACTCAATCCATAAGGTGCCAAAATTACTCATTCAAGGTGTCATTAAAGTTGAGTTTAAAAGCAAATGCATATGTGATACTCAAGCATAGGATGAATCTCTATAATGTCCTCATGTACACTAGATTCAAAGCAAAGATCAATGTATCAACAAACCTATAACACTCTTAATAATGGAATACAGATCCACATTCAGATATGTTCACAAAAATTTTTCAAATTTTTCATGTAATTTGCACTATTATGAACAAAAAAAATGTATGCATGAGAAAGGTGAATTTTCACCACAAAAATTGACATTATCAACAAAAACATTTCCTCAAACATTGGTGTCTCATACAAATGGTGCACCTCACCCCCCCCCCAACTTGTTTCATGCATTGTCCTCAATGCAAAAAAAAAATCTGATACGCAATGAAAGACTGTAAAAAGATGAGTAGGGTAAGAGAACACCTCGCACTTGAGCTTTTGACAAAAACACCATCATTTGAAACTAAGAAAACAACACTATACAAAAAGATAAAGTAAGCACTTAAATGGTTAAAGTAAATAAAAGTGACTGTACACTAAGAATCCTAAGAATAGTTATTCCTCCACCAATTTCGGATATACCAGATCCGTCAAATCCTCCTGCAATCGTTGTCCTTCAAAACCCTCAACGAATGGCTTGAGTCTTTGGCCATTGGCCTTGAATGTCTTGTCATCCTCAGGGTTTGTGACATCTATAGCTCCATTAGGGTAGGCCACCTTGAGAATATAGGGGCATCCCAATGGGATTGAAGTTTCCCTTGAAAAATCGAGAGGCAAGAATTGTATAAAAGCACTTTTTGGTCGGGCTCGAATGACTTCCATTCAATGGATTTGTCATGAATGATTTTAGCCCGCTCTTTTGAAATTTTTGAGCTTTCATATGCATCTCTTCGGATCTCTTTCAATTCATTCAATTCTAGTTTCCTATGCTCTCCGGTCATTCTCAAATTGTAGTTTAAAGTCTTTATGGCCCAATAGGCATTGTATTCCATCTCAACTGGCAAATGACAAGTCTTTTCATAGATGAGCCGATAAAGAGACATGCCTAAGACACTCTTGTAGGCAGTACGATAAACCCCTAGGGCATCAATTAGTCTACAAGACAAATCTTTCTTATTTAGGTTCATCGTCTTCTCTAAGATATTTTTTATCTCCCTATTGGCTAACTCGGCATGGCCATTGGTTTGTGAGTGATATGTGGTGGATACCTTTTGTGTGACACCATATTTATGCATCAACGATGCAAATGGTTTATTGCAAAAATGCAATCCACCATCGCTTATCATTGCACGAGGCATCCCGAACCTTAAAAAGATGTTCTCTTTCAAGAATTTGACCACAACCCGATGGTCATTGGTCTTGGTTGGGATAGCCTCCACCCATTTGGACACACAGTCCACCGCCAGTAGAATGTATAGATAGCCAAATGACATAGGAAAGGGACCCATAAAATCGATGCCCTAACAATCAAATATTTCTATAACAAGTACAGGGGAGAGGGGCATCATGTTTCTTTGGGTCACACTACCCAAATGTTGACATCTATCACATTCTTTACAAAATGAAATACAATCCTTTATCAGAGAGGACCAATAAAACCCTGACTGTATAATTTTTGTCGAAGTCTTCTTCGTAGAAAAATGGCCACTGCATGCTTTGGAATGGCAGAATGCAAGGAATTCCCGTTGTTCATTTTTGGTATGCATCTCTGCATGACTTGTTTAGGGCAGTACTTGAACAGATGCGGGTTGTCGAAGAAGAAGTACTTCACATCCGCCATAATTCTTCTTCGATCCTCTAGGCTCTAATCGGTGGTATTTGTCCTGTTGCAAGATAATTACATATGTTAGCATACCAAAGACAGACATAATGAATTGAAAATAAATGTTCATCAGGGAAGAAATTAGGGATAGGAATGTGCTCATTGACCTCTTGCACCACCAGTCAGGACAAATGATCCACCACCACGTTCTTCACCCCCTTCTTATCTTTGATTATCAAATTGAACTCTTGGAGTAGGAGGATCCACCTGATGAGTCTCAGTTTGGCATCCTACGTAGACGACAAATACTTCAAAGCAGAATGATCAGTGTAGACTACTATCGGTGAACCAATGATGTAAGAACATAATTTATCCACTACAAATGCTACTGCTAACAATTCCTTTTCAGTGGTTGTATAATTCACTTGTGCCTCATTAAGGGTTTTACTAGCATAGTATATTACATACGGTCTCCTATCCTCCCTTCGACTGAGCCCTGCGCCGACCGCGTAATCACTCGCATCACACATAAGCTCAAAAGCTAAATCTCACTTGGGTGGTCGCATAATCGGAGATGTAGTAAGCATGCTTTTGAGTTTTAAAAAGATGCCTCACAATTATTTGACCACTCGAATAGGACATCCTTGGACAGTAAATTGGTCAAAGGTTGGACCAATGCACTAAAGTCTTTAATGAAATGATGACAAAAGCCAGCATGGCCTAAAAATAACCTGATATCCTTTATGACATTCGGTGTAGGGAAGTTGAAAATAACCTCAACCTTTGATTTATCCACTTCGACCCCCTTCACTGAGATGATATGCCCAAGCACAATTCCTTGTGTCACAATGAAGTTACACTTCTCCCAGTTCAAGACTAAGCTCTTCTCCTCGCATCTCTCAAGAACTCTCTCCAAATTCTCCAAGCATCCTCTAAAAGAATCTCCAAAGACCAAGAAGTTATCTATAAACACTTCCACTATCTTCTCCACCATGTCACTAAAGATCCCCATCATGCAACGTTGAAAGGTTCTAGGTGCATTACATAGACCAAAAGGTATGCGACAGTAGGCAAAAGTACCATAGGGACAAGTGAAGGTGGTCTTCTCCTGATCTTCCAATGCAATCTTGATTTGATTATATGTTTAGTATTCATCTAAGAAACAATAAAATAGATGCCCCACTACTCGTTGCAACACTTGGTCGAGAAATGGCAATGGGAAGTGGTCTTTCCTTGTGCATAAGTTAAGCTTGCGGTAATCAGTGCACACTCTCCATCCGGTGATCACCCTTGTTGGGATAAGCTCAT